GCTCAGGCTGGTTTCGAACTCCTGAACTCAAACAATCCGCCCGCCTCGGCCTCCCAGAGAGCTAGGATTACAGGCGTGAGCCACCGCGCCTGGCCCACAATGGATTTTTATAAAATTGAGTTGAATTTGTTGAATTAGTAAACTTTTGGATCTCCACATATTTCCATTCAATTGTTCTCTTGCTTCAGCAGATGTTAAATTGTATTTGCCCATTACAAAACTCTTTTTTTTAACTACATTTATCTTAGAAATTACCTTTTAAACTTTCAGTGGAGGAGTAATTTCTTTTGAAGTTCCAAAAACATGTATGTGTAATATGTATTGTTTTAATTTGCAAAAGTGAAAAATGTTGAAAACATTTTATATTACACACTTATAATCTATAAAAAGTATTATAAAATTATATATTTTATACTTAATTATTTATACTTTATACTTTATAATACATACATCTCTCTACATGTATATTCAATAGAAGAAACAGAAAACAAAACTAAACCCATGTTTATTGAGAAAGGAAGCCCATATTTTTTGCTTTTAATGTCAGTTCTTTTTTATACTGAAAATGAGAGTGTGGTTATAGCTACTAACAGAAGTATTAGAAGAATTCAGAAAAAAATTCAGTAAATTTAACAATTTCAAAATTTCTAGTCATGATTATGTTTCTCATTAACCTTTTTTTTTTTGCTAATTGCTACTAATAGCAAGTTTTAAATGCTTACACCTAAAATAAATAGAAATTTGCATAGAAAATGCCAAAAAATATTTCCAAGTACCTCATAATTTCTATTTTTAAAAAACTCTCTTTACATGCATGTCCGGATTATAAGTAGAAGATATTTACATCTTTAAATATACATTTTTATTATTTTCACATTTAATCTCCCTTCTTTAATTCTACTGCACAGATAACACATTTGAATGAATATAAGTATTTAAATTTATAGTTCTCATAAATTTGCATGAATGCAACTAATTTAACTTATAGTTTAAACTACTAAAGCTTACAAATACAGGATTCTAGTAGCACCATTATACTACTTTCTGTCTGTCCCCTTTATTTGAAATGATTTTTTTTTATTTCAGCCATATTATGGGGGTACAGATGTTTAGGTTACGTATGTTGCCCTTGCCCCCCCTCTCCCCCCTAAGTCCAAGTTTCAAATATGTCCATCCTTCGGGTGGTGCACATTGCACTCTTTGTGTATTCAATAAATGGTGCTGGGAAAACTGGATAGCCACATGTAGAAGACTGAACCAGGATCCACACCTTTCACCTCTCCCAAAAATCAACTCACGCTGGGTAACAGATTTAAACCTAAGGAGTGAAACTATTAGAATTCTAGAGGAAGATGTTGGAAATACTCTTCTAGACATTGGCCTAGGCAAAAAATTTATGAAGACCCCAAAGGCAATCACAGCAACAACCAAAATAAATGAATGGGACCTGATCAAATTAAAAAGCTTCTGCACAGCCAAAGAAATGGTCACAAGAGTGAAATGATTTTTTTAATGTGAGCAACTTTCCCATTTTCTCAACTACCACAAAATGCTCTTACTACCTCTTTTATAAAAGAAAAAGCATGAATAAAAGAAACTACTATGTGCAGTTTATGTCTTCAGGGAGGGGGGTAAACCTCTAATTGGGCTGTGAGTGATTAATACAAAATCTTTTTTTTAAAGAAAAAAAGAATTCTGCTAGAGTTATTCAGATAAGAACTCATGTGGGAAAGGAGGGACATAAAGTCGGTTTTACTCCATTCGTGTCATAAATACATGGAAAGAAAATTAGTGTGAAATAGCATTACTTGCTTAATAAGCATCCCAGTCACAGACTTAAATTTTATTTTATTACACATCTGGATGTGTCGTTAGCAAGTTACCGAAAGACTCGAAGAACAGGTTGGAAGAAAGAATCTTCTTGCCAGTATCACCATAGTGCATTGTGTTAGCAAGAGAGAAATCAGCATGTTAATGCCTCAAATAAATCCTTTGAAGATGCAAAGTCTGAAAGGCCAAGTGAGGGAACAAACAGACTAACCAGTCCAATTCCAGTTTGGCCGACAACTGCCTAAAGAAATGTGATTTTTAATAAATAGCAGCTGTTGGCCAAAGTACCGTTGAATCACAGAAAAATTTGTTATGTGCTG